GAAAGCTTTCTAACTTTTAAGGAGATCGAGCAATTCTGTTTAACCTACACATTGATCAGGAATTGGTCGAGTTAGAAGACTAATAGTAATCGTTATTAAACATGTAAGTACAAAAAGTAAAACAGCAAAATATAGAAAATGAAATTTAACTACAGTTGGACGTTGATCTGTATGTGATAATTCACATGGTGGAACTGAATATGAAAATTCCCAAATAAAACGAATTAAACCAATAATTAAACCACATATCAGACCCCAAAATGCACCCTAAATAATAGAAGAAAAATTCATATTCATTTCAATTTTTCAAATATAATAAACTTCTTCATTAATTCGTTTCCATAATATAGCAAGAAGATAAATTGCACATATTGGTGGAGCAAGAAAACTTTGTACTGATCTATAGAAAATGTTTTTTGTTTTTGTTTTAATAAATATAATATCTTACTGAATATAATCAAATAGACGACCACCTTGTGCAATTGAAATAATTGGAATCCAAAGAATTGATATTCCAACAAGTATTAATGTAAAAACTCTTTTAAAAAAAAAATAATAAAATAATTTTCTTATATGAATTTACAAAAAAAAATAATCTTTTACCTTCCGACTATAAGTAATTCCCATTGTAATGCTCGTGGTCGAAAACGTTGCCATATATCAATAGTAAATATAGTTGATGATGAATTAAATATTGATGTTAATGAAGTCATTAATGCTGCAATCATACAAGCAAGCATAAGACCACGTAAACCACTTGGCATTAATTCAATAACAATTAATGGATAAGCTATATCTGTACATGATGCTTCATTATTACAAACTTCTTTACATGTTTGAGGACTTGAACAACCAATTTTATCTTAGTTGATAAACAAAAAAAAAAAAATTTATTATTATTTTTGTTTTTGTTTACCTGGAAAAAGTATACGTGCAACCATACCCGGAATAATCATAAGAAATAGAGGTAAAAATTTTAAATAACTAGCAACAATACAACCAGCACGAGCATGTGTTAAATTTTTAGCAGCAAGTGCTCGTTGAACAATAACCTGAATATTAAAAAATTATCAATCGAATCACACTTTTTTCTTTTTTGATTTATACTCACTTGATCGCTAGAAGAAAAACAAATTTCGAAAGTAAAGAATAAGATAAAACAAACATATTTTTTAATGCTAGATTTCTTTTGTAATGACTTTCATTGCTCAGTTATGACAATACAATCAAGCACAACTAGATTAATTGATTCTTTTTTGCTTTTATAGATACTATGTAATATTCTAATAAAAAAAAAATCTTAAAAGAATTTACATTCCTATTGATACTTCATTAAATTATCGAATTTTAATCGGAAACTTTTCGCATAAAGAGAACTAAATTAGACTAAAACTCAGAAGTTTTTGAACAATATCTCTTTGAAATATTCTTCAATTGAAGAGTTTCAATATATGAATATATCCGTGATGAAAAATACTATTCATTTCATTGATTGATTAACTAACCTGCACCAATACCAAATACTCACAATGGTCATACCAATAATACCTATCCACGGTGGACCATTATTCGAATTAAGTGGTCGAATAATACTAAAATAATCTTCAGATGGTATACCACATACTGTATTATTAAATAAAGTTGTATCAGCAACAGAATATGGATAAAGATTTTTTATCATTTGTAAACCACCAACACGAATATAACTTATAATCATAAGAATAAAAGCTGCTATAACCATAATAATTGTTTGAATAAAATCTGTCCAAATAACAGCAGATAATCCTCCTATATATATATATATATTTTATTGTTAAAAAAAGAAAAATTCATATTATTTAACTTACCACCAATAGTAAATATAGCAGCAAGAGAAATAAGTGCAATAATTGATATATACATATTCCAACCAAGTGCTTGATTAAGAAATATTGCACCAGAATAAAGATCAACTGATATTTTTGTAAATATTGAAAGTATTAAAGCTAAAGTAGTTTGATAAAAACGAATTCTATCACCACCAAATCTTTTCTTTAAAAATTCTGGCATTGTATAAATCTAATTTTAGATTATTTGCAGATTAAAAAATAAAAAAACTATATTTTTATCATTCATTCTTGACTTACATCAGCTTTTATATAAACAGGTAGAAAAAGCCAACCAAGAATTATTAATACATAGCTAGCCTAAATAGAATTATAGACTCAATAGAATTCTTTTGTGATTTTGACATTTAGAAACATACATTTAATTCAAAACCAGCTACACCAATACCATTATTTGCTCCACTACCTATCAAAAAAATGTCATCCAAATGAACTATGAATATCCTGAAAAGAGTGTATATCTTAAGCTTATTGCTGTTGAGATACTGAATTTTTAAAGTCGATTTTACATAAATGTCGTAATCACTCAATGATTCAATAATAATTGCCGACAGATTTTATCTAACAAGTGAACATTCTCAGGTGTTGGAACGCTTTTGAGTCGGGACTTTGCGCATCTTGTAGGCCTTGATGAATTATGT